GCCAGCAGCGTGACCAGGGGGCCAAGAAGGCCAATGGCATCCTGGCTGGTGTCAGCAATAGCGTGGCCAGCAGGGACAGGGAAGGGATCTGACCCCCGGACTCGGCACGGGTGAGGCCGCCCCTCGATTCCTGTGTTCAGTTTTGGTCCCCTCACTACAAAAAGGACATTGAATGACTCGAGCGTGTCCGGAGAAGGGCAACAGAGCTGGTGCAGGGTCTGGAGCACAGGTCGTACGGGGAGTGGCTGAGGGAACTGGGGGTGTTTAGTCTGGAGAAGAGGAGGCTGAGGGGAGACCTCATCGCCCTCTACAGCTACCTGAGAGGAGGGTGTAGGGAGCTGGGGATAAGTCTCTTCAATCAAGTTACAAGCGATAGGTTGATAAAACACAATAATCCTTTTACCTGAATTTCAGATGTTCATGCAAGTTGATATAAATTGTGAGGATTAACTCTAAAATAAGTAACTTTATTCTGGAATTGTGAAGTTCAAAACTTTTTCTAGGAATAAATCAACTGAAGAGTCATATTTCAGATAGGACATGTTATATCTTTGTCTATCCTCCATCCCATCATCATTTTCAGCAAGGTCAGTATTAGGCTATGCTTGTTAGTCCAGGCTATTGACCTACATGTAAAAATACCAGAAATTGACTCATTGCACATTGTCATCTGGAACACCATTCAGCAAACTTATGAGAGTATAATTTCATGTAATTCAAGAAATGTGTTTAAAAGGAAATATAAAGATCTTCTATACTTTCTGCCATCAATGCTGATGAAGTCCCTACATGGTTTAATTCAGCTCGTTTTAGGGCATTTCTTTTTCAGATGAAAAGAGTAAAAATCCTAAGTGTTCTGTACCACAGTAAACCATCCTGGATAGTTATGACAGTTATAAGAAAGCTGTCTATTAGCAATACCACAGTTATGAAGAAAATATTATGTGAAGATCCAGTATTTAGGGGAGAACAAAATGTACATGACCAGTAACTGTTAAATTACTAGTCCTATCTTCCAATATTCCCACAGAATACTCATGGATATCTTCAGAACACAGGCTACTCCAGCTCAAGAATGCACTGCCCATACTGTAAAGCTTCTCTACAGGCAAGGATTTAATTTGGATTAGTGAAGTGTCATGACCCAGGCTGGGAGCCCAGAGAGTTGTAAGGGTTCTGTGATTCACTCAGCTTAAAGTGAAACAACACCAAACAACTGGTTAAAATGTTTTGCTTGTGGTAGAAATAGCTTAAACTAGAAAAGTATAAGCAGTAAAGTGGTCTCATAAATCTATAAGAAAGAAAACAAAGGAAAGAAAAGGAAAAGAAATAGAAAGATGAGAGAATCAAAGAAATCCTGTCACCACCCCTGGATCCAACATTGTCTCAAATCTAGTAATCCTGGGTCATGGGTGCACACACAGCAAAGTTTTCTGCCACATTTTAAATTCATTTTATCAGCTTGTCAGCATACTAGATAAGGAGGGACAGGTATTCCACAAAGTCATTTCCATGAGATATGAGGAAAAAGTTGAGCATGGGACCTGCACATACATTGACAGGGAACAGGGTCCATCAACCTCCTTGTCCAATTGAGTCAGAGGCTGTGCTTACTCTGCCATCTTTGCCTCTCGCCTAGTTCCCACAGATTTTTGTTGACTTCCTGCTTCTTGAGCAATCATAGAGTTTCCTGGGGCAGAATGCTCACCTCTTATCAATTCTTATCACCTCTTCAATGATCTGCATGGTATCAGGCTTACACAATACAGCCACAACGTATAGGGCCTACACAGTGGAGCCAGTCATCCCACTTTGAGGCTTATCTAAGGAGTCTGTCAATACAAGGGAGTGGAGACCTGCATCCTTCAATACACTCCATGCTTCCTTGGGTGACATTCCTTAGACTAATCACAAGGCCACAGCCTGTCCTTCTTGTTTGGTGTCTCAATGAATGTTTGAGGCATTAACTCCTTCAGTTCTTTATGTAAAGACACTGCCTTCCAGGCTTTGAGTTTCACAAAATGTTCTCATCTCACTTTTGATCATTCTCACTGGTGTTCAAATCTGTATCAGATATCCACTAGCAGCATAATCCAGAACCCTGTATTTCTCTCTCGAAAAGCAAGTATTTCTTGTTGCACACAAAGAAATCTCTCTAATATTGATGCAATCGATGCTCAAATTTAGATCTAATCTGTGATCCTTTAAACGATCTTTGATTCATTATGGAATTGTTACAGGTACAATTGTTGCAAGATCCTCACTAACTGTAATTTTCTTCAGTCTGCTAAAGAAACAGATGCTTTATTTTTTAGTGTTTAACACTGTGTTGCTTATAATCTTTTACTTTGTTTTGTTTTACTGCAAACTGTATACAAAGAAAAAAGAAACAGGTTCCTTTGCACCTCTCTAGTTTACAGAAACTACCACTGTTTTCCACAAAAAATGAAATGTTCTAAATTAAGAACTAGGTCCTTATCTCATGTACTTGCATTAAGCAGCATCTCTTTCCTAAGGAGTCATTGATTTTATTCAGATTATTCCACAGGATGCAGATCAGAATACCACTGGAACGTTAAGTGCATGTTTAAAGTCTGTCCTACACAGAGGAGCATGCAAATTGATTCAGACCCAGCAAACAGAAGAGATACTGTTCTGAACTAGAAACACAGTAATAGCCTTTCGTTCCTTCACAGTGCACAAGTGATTAAGTAAAACCTTATAATCAAATTATTTGAAGATTATTTATTAAAACAAATTTAAAAGAACTTTTACTGTAGCTACTTGTCTGTAAAATTTAACAAGGCTATTGTTCCTTAGTTACAAATTTTATTCTTTAGGGTTTATTCCATGAGGTATTCAATGTCAGTTGCTAATGAAAACACTTGTCCCTGCTCTGTAGAATGCATGTAAAAGAAAAACAGATGTGATCAGTCATCTAGAATGATAGAAAGAACAAAGCAAAATTGACCAAGTGAAGTAAAGGTAAGAAAAAAAACCCAAACAAAAAAGAAATCTAATAATATGATTCTGTGATTGTAAATCAGGAATAAGAATGAGGTAAAAAAAATGCAAAAAGAAAGCCTTTGGGGCTTCTCTGATCATGCTATACAATAATCAAAGCACATGATTCCAGATGATTTAAATGACCTGTGACAAAAGGACAGTTAACTGCCTCTGAAATGCCAATCATGCTTAGTTGGAATGAACATACTGACTCAAGACCTAGTCTTAATCCCAAAGGAAATCAGGGTAAAGTGCTCGAAAGTCACTAGCCTAACAATGACACTTTCAAGAGGAAAGAAATTCATCACCACAATAATATCAATCAGTTAATGTGTTATACATTCAATATTCAAAAAAGATACAGGGAGTTTAACTGCTGAAGCAAACCTTCCGCTATTTTCTGCGGTGCTGTTGCAAAACTAAAGAGGGCAAAACTAAGAGAAAGCCTTTCTGTGCAATGGAAAAAAATTAAATAAGCATTTCATGAAGACATTTAAATAACAAGTTCAGCAGAATACATTTTATAACACAATAATGAAAGTAATATTTTTTAGCAATAAAATATTTTACTAAATAATGTCAGAATGGTGTTGGTAGAATAATGGTACCACAGTGTGTGTAGCTAATTGAACAACTATAGCCTGAGCTTGAACTCCTAATCTCTGAGCTGCAGGATGTCCTATATGTTGAGGAACAGTACAGTCTGATTGCTAAAAAGAGCATCTATATTTTATATAAAGTATTAGCAAATTGTATTTCTACAGCATGAAACTGCCAAAAGCTAATGTCAGATTTGTCATGTGAATAAACCCAGCCTGTATGGAGACAGTGTAGGCAGTGTGCTACTCATTTCAGAGAACTCAGAACCATTCACCTTGAGATGTTCATAACAATGAGAAGGGTTCCTCTATACGTTTTCCATTAATATTCCACATTGTTAGCACTGCTAACATTCTACCAATTTATTTATGGGGTTTGCTTTGTATTTTTTTATTATACTTGTATTTAGAGATACAGGGATGTGACAATAGACACCAATTAATTAATAGACAGACAAAATAGCAGTCATAACATTTGCAGAAACAGATATTACAATACTATACCTCAAGATTTAATGTGAAAACCTATGACAATTTTATTTAGCTCTGAGAGAACAGAATGTTTATGATAGCTTCCCATAAATCTTAAAATATCTCTACAAAACAGTTACAATATCTATAAAAATGACTATAGCAATGAATAGTAAATGGTTTCTGTTTTTTTAGCTATCTTCTAGAATTAAATAAAAAAATTAGCATTACAATATTAGTCTATATAACGTTTTACAGACCTTCCAAATAATTGTCTACAAAGCTGTTGCTTATCCACAAAACTCAGTATGATGCTTAAATAAGAAATCTGACACATCATGTAAAAAAAGTAATACATAAATCACACTATTACACTGTTCCAGCTGAAGCTCATCTTTATTAACATGATCTGGTGGTAAAACTAGTGACCTTCACAGCATGGACTGGCAGCACGTATGAAGTCTGGTGTTGTGCTACCATATGAAGCAATCAAAGCAACAGAGGATAGCAGATAATTCCTCCACCAGCAAAGCTCTGCCATACAGTTACTCATCAACTGTCTTATCAGTTTCACAGACAATCCTCTAATATGTAAGTACATTGAGGTATCTCTATTCACTGCAAAAATTACTGCTTGTGTCATTCTTATCGCATTTGGTGGCTCTAATATTCAAGGGTGAGTGCAAAGAAACAATATTGTAGCCATGCATATAATTTATTCATTATCTTCTTGCTGCTTCTTAGCTGCATATTGCTAAGATTTACTCTTGAAAGATGATATATTAAAATACACTTAGTGTTAACAACGTAAAATGACATACCAAACTGTGGGAGGAAGTGCATACATATATGCGTGCACATGTGCACACACACATTTTTGCTCTGTATAAAGTACAACTTAAAGAAAAAATAAAAACTACTTACACCAGAATAGAAAGGCTCACCAGACACACAGATCACATCCTGCTCCTGGATCATCAAAATATCTTTGGCTAAGTGCAGTCGCACTTTGAAAGGCTCCTGGTTACCATCCTGCAGCAAACAAATCCCTGTCTTTGTCTTCAAAGGAAGGGATAAAGAAAAAAAAAGTTCTCAGTTAGCAATTTACATTGCTAGAAGTGGTATTTTGAAACAGAATAGCTAAGACATAGGTACAGTTACATAAACACATCAACAAATATCCAAAACTATTATCAGTGATCACTGTATTTACTATGCTCAGACTACAAGAGAATGATGGTAACAGTAGCAAATAGAGAAGGCAGATTTTGCTAGAAGGTGGCACTATCCTGCCCATGATAAATTTGTGAAACTCCTTTCAAATTGCTTCACAGCAGCTGTGCTCTTATAATACTTTCCATCTTTGTATTAAAAGATGACACCTCATTTGGACATGAAATAAAAGCTGATGTTTTATATATGACACCAATTTTGACACAGAAATACATACAATAACACCTCCAAACTAGACAGATGTGAGCACTGACAGCCTAGATGAACCTGTTGTGGGCTTCTCCTGATCTGTGAGCACAACACTGACTTAGACTTTTATGTTCCTCTTCAAATGAGGATACTGAAGTTAATAAGAGAAAAGAGATCAAAGAATGCAACTCCTTCAAGCAATTTCCTTCTTCCTTCACTTCTGTATTTTACATTTATGGTTAGTGATCAGGAATTCTGTAGGATTCTTCAATATACAATACATGACTTTCCAACAATTTAAGTGTCTTTGTGGTAGTAACTATTTATGTTACTTTTTTGGGCAATATACGTAAGACATTTGAGCAATGAAAAAGTCTGCACTTGTGAGCAGTTTATAATTTCTCCCTGATGGCTGCATTGAAAGTAGCACTCTTTATAAGCCTTCATATATGGACAAAAGCCATGTTGGCAGAGCATTTTCTGTATGAGAAATCTTCTAAACAATAAAAAAATTTAGCCTTACAACATGTAATTTAACAGCATTAGATACCTATACCTATTTGCACAGATACATATATGTATGCATGTAAGTATCTCAATAAAATTAATATATAAAAAGTATTTAAAATCTTAGACTCAGTGTCAATAATAAAAATTCCATTGTCTTCATTTGGGTCAGATTTCAATCCACTGTCTGTAAAAAGTTGGCTTGAGAGAAGATCAAGGAAACAAAAGTCTTGCTGTGAACTTTAACTGCCAAGGTTGACCTGGCTGAATCTGAGGGCTCTTTCTCAGACAAGAGTTTAAAAGAGGATTTGGAAGATCTCCCCATAATGTGATCTCATACCTTACATCCATAGCATGGAGAGAACAAACACAAATATGGAACTGACAGTAGGCAACTGTCAGAAGAAAAGTTTAAATTGCTCTCAAGAGGATTTAAAAGAGGTGGAAAGGTCGAGGACAACCTTTAAATAGGTCTATATAATGTTCTCCACTGACAAATTGTTCTGTCACTACTGCTCAACACTCAAACTGAGGAAATTGTTTTCCCTTGGACATCAGTAGCAAATGTGTATAACTCAGCCATAACTTTAAAAACAATATCAGAGACACTTTCATTCTTTTAAAACTACGTAAGAAGAAAAAAGAAATAAAGAGTTCCATGCACTGAACTCACATTGAGGTCAGTGGAAGCTCTCATCAGAAGACATCATACAGCATTGTTCTAACACTTAGTGTCTATTTTTTAAACAGGATGAGGTAGAAATCAATTGACATGGACAGACAAGTCAAATAAATGGATCATGAAAGCAGTTCAGTTTACAGTACCACTAAAAATTTCCCTATCATACCATACATAAAACATTACAACAATAAAATACAGAGAATGTAAAATAGTCAAATTCCCCTGGTCCTCTCCTTATAATTTCTGCTTTACAGACTAAGATGACTCCTCTTTCCATGAAGTTGTGAAGTAAACAGTGACAATGGAAGTTGAATAAAGCAAGCTGTAAATATCTATGGTCAAATAAAAAGGGTTAGCCTACAAACATCTACCCCTTATAAAAGGCCTTTCTCCTGCAGAAAAGTTTGCAGACATGCCTTTCCTCCTCCCTAGATAACTGGCAATGGAATAAATCTTGCCTCTGAAATACACTGATTATAGTAACCCTGCCTTACTGGACCACACATTTCTGATTTGGTCAATAACCCTATAAAAACTCCAAAAAGTCTTTCTGCTGAAGCGGAGGGGCTTCTTTGTGGGAATTAGAGGCATAAAACTGTATCAGACAATTAGCCATTAGAATAAAAAAAAAAATTCAAATTGGTTTCTAAATGCATGTGGGCTGAGCTTATTCAGGCTGAACAAGGAAACCAAGCTTGGGAACAGCAAAATATTTTGGCCCTTGGAAAGATTGATCACACACACTCAGGGATCTTATTTACATCACACTCTAAAATGTAATGAACCACTTTACTGTTGTTGGGCTTTATGAAAGCTGGTTTATGACACAGTTCAAAATTAAATCTTCGATTTTACTACCTCCTTCCCTCTTACCTGAGAACAGCATTAACAAGCATATAAAGGAGAATGTAGTTGTTTCATTAAATGAGCTCAAGAGAAGTCCTTGAGAACAAAGACGAGAATTTAATTATTTCATTATGTTTCATATTCTGTGCTGAAGTTTCTTTTTTTTCTTCTCTTGCCTGCCCCTTCACAGCATCCAGTAAACTGAATCAAATAAAGATATGAGCTCCTACATCCTATTCAGAGCCACAACTTAGGGAAGACATCCTGTATACATGCTTTAAATTACTGTGCACATCAACATTTTTCATCCACATGGCCACAATAAAATTATTCTGGTTGGAGAGAGATCATCTGTCTAGCCTATACCCCTTCCATCTCTTACATTTGAAGAGCTTAGATGGTGTGCATGCATATGTGTGGATGAGGTGTGTGTGTGTGCAGGGTTGTGGCTGATGTTAGCTTTTGTTCCCATTACTAATTTTTAAGATATTCTATGGGAGTGTGCTAGAATTTTCCCTTTGAGCCTTTTGCATTTCACTGGCAGAGGGGTCTGCCCTACCCCTGACTTACAGCAATAAAACAGCATATGGCACGTCAGCCAGGCTACTGTAACTGTCAGTGTGAGGTCATGCAAGGTATCCTCTAGTGCTCAAATGTTTGATAAACTGCATCACTGTATAGCAGACATGGATAGAAAAGCATAGTTCAGATGATAACAGTTTGTTAAGTCAATACACCTTGACTGTATGTGCGAGCCAACATTGCCACAAACTGCCCTGCTTACATGTATACCATCCTACTTTATTCATATTGTTTATAGAGTTTGGTACCTGCTGTAAAGAGGGCAAGAAAACTGAGTGAAGTTGTACGTGTTTATGAAATAGATGAGGTAGGCTAAGGAAACGATATCGAAGCAATACACAGCAGTGAAAAAATTTCCACATGGGAGAGTCAATGACTTCAAGCAAAAGTAGTGGTGAAGGAAGGTAGCAGTACCTAAGGAATGGATGCAGTGAATGTTGCACCTGCACAGTACTGCCTCTGTTATCTCATTCTACACCCTTTTAAGCTGAGTTAGACAAGAATTTGTTCTGGAGGAGATTTATTCAGTGCTTCAGGCAATTTTAAATACTTTTAATTAGTTTTCAAGACATGACTATATATTTGTTTATCCTATTTTATCTATTTCTTTTCCTTTACAATAACAAAGGAATTTGGTTAGTTTTCCTTCTAGATCTACATCAGTAGGCAGACTTCAACAGATAACCCACAGTAGTTTAGTCCATGAACCAGTGGAAGAAAGGAACAGGAAAAAAATCTCTCATATTTCTTATGCAAGGTAGTCTGCATTTTTAGTTTCTGCTTTGGCTGGTATGTCCTAAAATAAATTAGAACTCTACAATTTAGTTTTAAGTCTTGAAATGTATTTCTACCATCAAGAATTCTATACCAGTAAGGAGAATGGATTTAGAAACTGAGATAAATATGTACACATTTCTCTTCAGATTAATATCTACACTTTTGGATGCTTATTTGAACTGAGGCAGACCTTTAACTATTTGGAGACATGCCTGTCACTGTTTTGTAATTGCAAGTATAAAAATAAAAGGAAAACTGAATTAGAGGTATAAGACAGTAATGGCAATGAATACAAGAGGCAGGAATATGTGTCAGAAACACGTAAATGGTCCAGCTACTCATTCTGTGGAGGTGTTGCTAGTGTAAGTGAAAAGCACTTATATTGTCAAAAATTGGAATGCAGCCCAGATACACAGGGATGTGTTCAGCTTGTCATTCAGAGACTCTTCTACCAGATATCAACATTTTCCAATCCAAAGGATAGTAAGTCCATCTCTGTATGTGATTTTTACACTTCAACCTGAAAGAAGCGCAAAAAAATGTTGCATTTGGACTTAATCTTCTTTTTCTTTGATTTGTTAGGAATTTCCCAAGTATTTGTCTATGTCATTCTTCATAAATTATTTTCTCAAAAGAATAAAGTCTTACAGAGAATTTTCTTGTTTCACACAGTCTGATTAATTCAATATGTAAATTAGACATTTGGAAATATATATATAACTACTTTTTTAGGGAAAAAACTTTCCTTTTCTGACACTATAAGTAGTCTAGCTTTGAAGTCTGAAGTGCAATGAGTTTACTGGGACTAGATTACATGATTACAGTTTAGGCCAAGAAATAAAATAATATTGAAGGCTGTTGTAAGAGCATGCATGTTTCTTCAAATTTAATTCACCTATTACATGACATTCTCACAGGAACTGTAAATCGCCAGTCATTTTCTGTCCTGTGAATTTGGAATTAAATTATGAATTGAAGATGGATTTAAGAAAAAACCCACAAACACAAGGTATTATAAATCTCAGCATTGTCATTTGATAGCATTTATAAACAAAGGAAATCATCGGCTGAAGCTGAAATGCGTAAATCAGAAAATGGCATAAAGGCAACTAGAAATAGTTCAAAACAGTATAAAACAGGATTTATGAAATAAAGACACAAGGAAGGCAAAACACTGCTTAAAAATTAAAACACATTCTGTGACAGGCAAAAGAATCCCAATAACATGGATGCTGAAATAGAG